TAAGGTCGCTCAGTAGCAACCCCCGGGAAGAGCCGCGCTGACCCTCTTCGTAAACCACCTCACCCACACGCATCGCACCGAAGAAGGCGATAGAGTATGCCTCTGAAAATAAGCGCGCCTCATACTTCGACCAACAGACCGTTCTCAGCTTTTTGTGAATTTGGAAAAGGATGTCGAATGATATTGGCCTCCTTAAGTCATGGCTCGGGGCTGCAGCCTGCGCCAGCCCTCTAGGGTCCTTCGTATGACGAAATCAGCGCATGGATCAGAGGAAAATACCACCTTGCAAAAGAATGATATTGCCGCTGCCTGAAGGTTGATAGTTCTAGGGGCGCGGCCCAAACGTCTTAAGTATACCAAGTATGATAAAACCTCGGACTTGACGGGGGGCGTTGCTCCTGCCGGCGCGGGATTTATTACAGAAATTAAGGAAATCCGACCACGCCTTCTTATAAGATCTTAAAGTGGACAGAGCCAATGAGGCTAATACTCCCTGAATCACTTCTGGTTCCCATGACTCTGGTCCCCAAGTCTCCACAGATGTTCCGGGAACGGCTGAGGAAGCGGCTGAGCCTCCAGTGCTAACGAGCGGAAGCGGTCCATCTGAAAACGAGATAGGGCATCCGCGATGTCATTGTTCACGCCAGGCACAAATTTGGCGGAGAAGTGGATGTTAAGTTCTAGACACCTGAGAATAAAGGAGCGCAGAAGAGCACCTACTCTTGATGACCGCGCGGCCTGCCTGGAAAGGACTCCTACCACTGCTTGGTTGTCAGTGTGAAAGCAAACCCTATGGTTACTAAAGACTTCAGACCACAAGTGCACTGCGACAACAATCGGAAAGAATTCTAGGAAGGTTAAATCTCTGGTTATGGGGGTCCCTTGCCACGCTGACGGCCAATGTTGGGCACACCATTGCCCCCTAAAGTAAACGCCAAACCCTAAGGAGCCTGAAGCATCTGAATGAACCTGGAAGTCCACTTGCAGCAACAAGTTCTCCTGCCACAAGGAAATACCGTTGTAGTTCTCCAGAAACTTCAACCAGACTTCCAAGTCAGATTTTACCTCCTTAGATAAGCGAACCCTATGATGGGGGGATCGCAGGCCGGCTGCTAGCCTCGCGAGGCGGCCACAAAATGGACGGCCAGGGGAAACCACGCGGCAAGCAAAGTTTAAATGGCCTAGCAGTGCCTTAGTGTTACCTTTCTCAGGGGGAGGAGCTGCCGAATGAGGTCGCCAAGCGTAATCAGCTTCTCTCTGGGAAGTTTTGAGGTCTGAGCGACCGTGTCCAATTCAATACCTAAGTAAACCATGGTTGTAGCTGGACCCTCTGTTTTGTCGGCAGCCAAGGGAACTCCCAACTCCCCTGCTAATGATGTAAAGGCTTCAAGGAGCTCTGAGCACTTACGCCTGCTATTGGCGACGAGGATAAAGTCATCCAGGTAGTGCGACACACCTTCAGATCCAGTTCTAAAGCGAAGCGCCCAGTCCAGGAAGGTGCTGAATGCCTCAAAGGCTGCACAGGCGACTGAGCAGCCCATGGGCATTGCTTTATCCACAAAATAAACCCCTTCGAATTTGAAACATAGCCACCGGAAGTCTTCCGGATGAACTGGCAAGAGTCTAAAGGCCGATTCAATGTCGCATTTTGCCAAAAGCGCGCCCTTGACGAATTTGCGAATAAGCTTGACCGCTTGGTCAAAAGTGGCATATTTAACCGTACAAAGCTCCTGAGGTATCGCATCATTGACGGACCCTCCCTTTGGGTAGGAAAGGTTGTGAATCATGCGAAATTCACCAGGCGCTTTCTTAGGGACTATACCTAACGGGGATATGTGAAGGCCTTCTATTGGGGGAGTTAAAAAGGGGCCAGCAACCCTGCATTAATTTCTTTACTAATCTTCTTTCGGGCAACCTCTGGCATCTCCCTCACTGATTTTTGGTTTGGTGGATCACCTGAATTTGGGGGGAAAGCTACAGGGATCCTAAAACCGTTACTAAATCCTTCCCATAAATACGCTGCTGCTGCCCTGTTGGGATATAGCTTCAAGAGGTTTGTGAACAGCGACACCTGCACGGGGGAAAAGGCCAGGCCAAGATTGAAGTTACTGCCTGTTCCCTTGAAGTCCCGAAGGGGCTCCATGGCCACCCCTGGGTCCCTGGTTGTAGGAACCTCTCCCACCCCGAAAGGGCTGCCTCCCTTTCAGGCAGGCAGTGGCTGGGTGGTTACCAAGGCATTTTTCACATTCATGGCTGTACTTACAGACCGTCCGTACACAAACCCCTTTATTGAACTCCCAGCACAGTCGCCTCTGTCTCGGAGCGGTCTTCCAGGATTTTGAAGAGTCCTGGGGCTTCTTGTCTATGTAGGGGCCTACGTGCTCAGGCCAATAGTTCTGGTCCCTCAGATCCCAACGAGTGGAAGATAACAGCGACGCATTTCTGCGGAAATCCTCATCGTAATTTAGAGCGGCAGTATCCCCCGCTAGATCCCTAGCCCTCCTCACATGGGCCATGTAGGCGACTAAATGCATCTCTCGTTTCGGATAAGCGGCGCTGACGACACCCATAAATACCTGGAACCCATCCAGCCAATGGTCAAAAGTGCGCTCAACTCTGGGTGCTCTGTACCTGCGTTTTCCATGGCTGTGCCTCTTTTCTCCTTTACCTGTCAACTTAGCAGGAGGCAACAATCTGAACATATCAATAAAGTCCCCATTAAGGATCTTGTCCCTCTTCCTCTGAGATAAATGGTTACCCACAATGAAATCTGTAGATAGGTGAGTGGAAGTTTTAACGTCCGGCACTAGCGAGCCATCCTTCCATTCAAGGGTCCCGTTAAAGGACTTACGGTAGGAATTGACCCTCCTTTCATGGGCCCATGAAGGGAGACCCACGCAGTCTTCCCCATGGCCCCAGTATTCCTCCCTAGAAACATCACTATCGGAGTCAGAAGAAGAGGTACCTGAATCATCCTCCGATTCCGACCGTCTGCTCTTCTTACTCTTCTTTGATGTGTGTTTTCTCTTCTCCTTCTTCTTCCCAGAGAGGACCTCCGGCGCGGCTTGATCCAGTACGCTGTTCACCTGTACCGCCTGCAGACCCCACACTTCCTCATCCGAAGTGGATTCTGATGCGCCCTCGGCTGGTGCCGCTTGCGGGGGTGGGATCTGAAAGAGACTGGGGACACCTGGGTCCTTTTGTGGGTTAGCAGCCTTGGTACCTAGAGTACTAGCCTTACCCTTCCTGCCACCCTTCTGGCCTCCTTTCGACTTGCCTGAGGTGGCCGACTGAGCACGGGTGCTCTTCTTTGCCGGGCTGTTGCCTCTTTGGCTACGCTCAGCACTGCCATAGTGGACGCGGAGGTACCTGGGAGTACCACCTCATTAAGTTGAGTGTCCGGGATAAACTCCTGGGAGAACACCATTGGTGCCGATGGCGCTGGCACTGCTGCCGCTGGTGCAACCGCCGTTGGTGCTGACGTCCCTGTTGCGACTGTTGTCGGTGCTGCTGCCCCTGGCGTGGGTGCCACTTGGCCCGTGGACCTCCTTTGCTTATAAAATTCCTGAAAATCATTGAAAAACTGTGCCAAAGCCTGCAGGTTACTTGGTATAACAAAGGGCTGGGACTCCTCTTGGTTCCCCTGCACCCCCCCGGCTGCTGCAGAATTTACCTGGTTTTCTTGAGCCGACATAGCTGCGATAAAGGCTTTTGATTAACCTGGTTCAATAGAGTCAGTGACGCTAGCTCAGCCTATATGCGTGAGCAGAAAGCAATAATGCTGTAGTTCAGTATTGCCTGCACTGGCAAGCTTTTACTGGAAACCGAAATTGCCTACCCAACCGATTGTATTTAGCTGTAATCAGTATGACATAAGTTCAGTATTGTCTGCACTGTTGCGAACTCAAGCTGGTTTTAGGTTTAATAAATTCAGTGCAGCAAAATTTAAATCAGTAACCGAAAGGAAAACAATCTGACTTCCTTAATATTTAGTGCACTGGAAAGTTTTTACTGGAAACCGAAATTACCTACCCAACCAATTGTATTTAGCTGTAATCAGTATGACATGAGTTCAGTATTGTCTGCACTGTTGCAAACTCAAGTTGGTTTTAGGGGAAAACGATCTGACTTCCCTAATATTTAATTAATTAATTAACTAGAACTTTACTGGATTTATATTTTAAATAAACTGTAATTAGAACCAGGACAATAGAGGAAGGCATGCGCTATCCCCAGGGGACTTGCAACCTTTAACCAACGTTTAACCAATTACGGGTAGCCCTCTACCACTTATTCAATTTTTTATTTTATTCTTTTATATATTCGGTTTATTTCTTGTTACTTAATGCCAATCCCTTAAAACTCATTGCCCACTAGATATATAATAAACAGAAGCTAAACTTGTTAAAGCAAGAGGGATAACTTGACTTATGCAGCAAACCTACTTAGCAAACCTAAGTAGCAAAGCAAAGCTCCCAGGAGCCCTTAAGCACTTTGCAAATTAACCAATAAACAGAAGCTAAATTTGTTAAAGCAAGAGGGATAACTTGACTTATGCAGCAAACCTACTTAGCAAACCTAAGTAGCAAAGCAAAGCTCCCAGGAGCCCTTAAGCACTTTGCTAATTAACCAAAGGAATTAAATTGCCGGATAAATGTAGCCTTACAAATAACAGATCTAACCTAATTTATATAGAAAGGCTTATTTAAATAAATTACAATTGCAATCAATGAATTGCTCTGGCAAGGCAAACTCCTAGGGGCACTTCAGAACTTTAACTAGAACAGCCAAATGAAAAGTTTTATTGGAAAATATAAATCCCTAAAAATAATTAAAGAAAAGCCTCATAAACTCTTGCAGCACTTCAGTTAATATTCCAGCCAATGAATAACTTTGTCAAGGCAGCCTCTTTCTGTGCTGCTGGTATTGTCTAAGCCTAGCTGCGTCAGATAACTAAAGCTGTAAGCCTGTGGAAAGTAATGACCCACGTGTAGTTGCCTATGGCAAAATGGCGGCCGCCAGACCACGTGGTCGTTTTTCAAAATGGCGCCCGGATCACGTGGGCTAAGAAATCAACAGGTTGCTAGGCAACGGTGCCGCCTCCTGCTGAACAGAAATCAAGCCGACCCCAAACAAAGCAAGCGCTGTTAATAAAACCCCCAACAGATTGGATGCCGCAGCGTGAGGCTAGTGATTAGAACAACCCCTGCTAAGCAACCTCCGTAAGCCGCCAAAGTAGGGAATAAAAGCTAGCGCTGCAGCCCTGAGCAATCTGCTAAACCTCCCCTTTGCGTTCAGAGCACACTGGTCCCCCAAGCACCCGGGCAAAATATCCCCCAACTCTTCAGTACGTTACCGCTGCCGCCTTTGGATACTTGAAAGTCGTCCCGGCTTGCGATGTAAGCATGGCTGGTTAGCCCCCGCAGTTCTGGAGGCTTGCAGAAGCGATGGGCGATCCGATCTCAAGCGGCAGGAGACCTACGAGAATAAGCCCCCCACAATAGAAAAAACCCAGCAATTTCAGCTCTGGCTCCCAGCGGCACGCACGCGGGTTGGGGGAAAAGAATTTCCCGATAGTGATTTCAGCTCTAAAAGGTAAACAGCAGTAGGAAAAGAATTTCCCGATAGTGATTTCAGCTCTAAAGGTAAACAGCAGTAGCCGATCCGTGAAGACGAAGGCTTGCTGCGAAAAGGCTCTCCGGAAGGTGAAAAAAGGTGCTCCTGAAAACGCTCCACGAGGTAAAGAGGGCACTGCGAAGGATTCCCAAAGCGATCAGCTGGTAAGGAAAAACGTGAGGGCTAGCCGGCAGAGAGAGGGCGAGCCCCCTCTGCGCTGGCCCTAAATAGCCCAGGCCACGCCCCCCAGCCAGCCGATTGGCTGGCTGGGGGGGCACACCCGGCCGGGATTCCCCTGTTCTCGCGGGGGCTGAAACCAGCCCCCGCTCACATGGGGTGGGCGTGAAGCCCGCAAACCCACCTCCTGGGCAGGCCGGAAGTGGCTTTGGTGTTAATGCACATTGACCCAGAAATCGCAAAGTTTATGTAATGAGACCAAAATAACAAAATACCGTCTTTTCGCTTCCATATGCGTAGAAAGAAGACGAATAAGCTTTGATTGGGCTTATTTCAATTCGCATGGTGGTTTTTGGGTGCGCACCAGAATCCCTCCTAACAGAAGAGGACATGTAAGCTTGGATTGTTCTTTCGGTGTTCATTCACCCAGAAATAGCAAAGCGAAGTGTAATAATCCTAAACGAAGCAATACAGGTTGTTTTGCGTTCCATCTACATAGAAAGGAAAATCTTGGATTTCGATTAGTTCGTCGTGTTTTATGGACCCCCATAAATCGCAAAGTGTGAAATGTTTGTTTTCAGCCCAAATCAAGCATAGGGGTTTTGGTTGCATCTCAATAGAAAGAGGAAATCTTTCTATAGAAATATAAAGAAGAATCTTGGATTTCGCTTTTTTTGTCGTGTTCCATGGACCCCTGAAATCTCAAAGTGTATGTAATGAGACCAAAATAACAAAACAACGTCTTTTCGCTTCCATATGCGTAGAAAGAAGACAAATAAGCTTTGATTGGGCTTATTTCTATTTGCATGGTGGTTTTTGGGTGTGCACCAGAATCACCCCCAACCAAAGCAAAAAGGTCTTTTGGGTTCCATCTACATAAAAAGAAAATGAAACCAACAAACATAAAATCAACACACATAAGCTTATTTGTGTTTTTTGGGTGAATATGCTTGCACTCCTTAAGAACCAAGTGAATTCAACCCATATAAGCTTATTCGTCTTCTTTCTCTGCAGATGGCTGCAAAAGCAACGAGTTTTCCTTTCTTTGAGATTCTTTCACTTCGCTTAGCGTTTTGTGTGTGCATAGCCGGAGAACCTGAAACCTAGTGAAAATGTCCAATCAAAGCTTATACGTCTTCATTCTATGCAGATGGAGGCAAATTTTGGGGTGCACACCTAAAGAAGCAGAAACTAAGTGAAATCAACCCAAATCACGCTTATTCATCCTATGAAATCAGAAATTCCCTTTTGCTTCAATCGGGATTCTTTACCTTTGCTTTGCGATTTTTGGGTGAATATGCATGCACCCCGAAAAAACACTAAACGAATTTAAATAAGCCAATTTTTCGTCTTCTTTCTATGCAGATGGTGCCCAAAACCACCTGCTTTGCTTTGTTTGGAAACAGCGCTTATGCTCCAATGACAACCTGTTTGGACTTCTTTTCCTTCTCTTTGGGATTTCTGGTGAATATGCAAAACATGCTCAATTGAAATAACCCCAATCAAAGCTAATTTGTCTTATTTCTATGCATATGAAAACGAAAACTAGGTGCTTTGCTTTTTTGGACCTATTTCACTTCGTTTTGCGATTTTGAGGTGAATATGATGCACACCTAAAAAACACCAGACGTAATAAGCCTAAACATTGCTTTTTCATCTTCTTTCTATGCAGATGGAAACCAAAACCACCTGGTTTTGCTTTGTTTGGCGTTCTTTCGCTTTTCGGTTTTTTGGGTGCTGTCAGGGGTTCAGGGAGAGAGGCACAGGGTAGGCAGGAGATGGAGAGCGATGGGGAGGAATTCCGAGCCAGCGAGGAAGAGGATGACAATGACTCAAGAGATTCCATGAGTCTTTCCAGCGAATCAGAGGATTCCCAGAAGTGGGCGCCGGTGGTCAAGGCCAGGGGAGCCCCAGGGGGGACGTGTCAGGAGCAGGGGGCCAGCGGAGGATCCCAAAGTGGCAGCTGGGTGTCAGGACCAGCCTCCCCACCAGAGTGCAGCGAAGCGGGTGGAGTTTCCAGTGTGTCAGAGGAAGCAGCTCCGGCAGCAGAGAAAGGAGGGAGGTCAGAGCAAGCCGCCCTCCCGGATGGGAGGGGAGCAGTGAAGGGAGTAGTGTAACTGTCAAAAGGAAAGTTAGAGGTTTGGCGCGCGCGCCTAGTTCAAATGTAGAGGCGCGCGGAAGTACAGGGAGCCCGGAGGAGGGGCCAGGTCCCAAAGCCCGCAGGAGGGGGGAAGAGCAGTCTGAGTCCGCGTCAGAGGAATCCAGGAGGGGCGAAACCCCAGCGGGCAGAAGGACCCTGCGGAAAAGGAAGGAGAGAAATTCCTTCCTTCCTTCCTTCTTTCCTTCATTCCTTTCTTCTTTCCATATATATCTCTCAATACTTCTCTCTCTCTTCCCGGTCTGTCCTTCCTTCCTTCCTTCCTTCCTTCCTTCCTTCCTTCCTTCCTTCCTTCCTTCCTTCCTTCCATATATATCTGTCAATCCTTCTCTCTCTATCTTCCTGGTCTGTCCTTCCTTGATTCCTTCCTTCCTTCCTTCCTTCCTTCCTTCCTTCCTTCCTTCCTTCCTTCCTCCCCCCTCTCTCTGTCTCTCTCTCTCCCCTACTTTCTCTCTTTCTCTCTCTCTTCCTTTCGCTCCCTCTCCCTCTGTATCCTTCCTTCCATCCTTCTCTCTCTATCCCCTTCCTTCCTTCCTTCCTTCCTTCCTTCCTTCCTTATCTCTCTCTCTTTCTCTACCTTCCATATCTGTCTCTCTCACTCTCCCTGTTAATCTACCTCTGTCTCACACCCCCTTGCTTCCTTCCTACTCTCTCTCTACCTCTCCCTTCTGTCACTCTCCCTTCTCTCTCTACCTCTCTCTCTCTTCCTTTATTCCGTCTCTATTTCTCTCTATCCTCTCTATCCCCTTCCTTCCTTCCTTCCTTCCTTCCTTCCTTCCTTCCTTCCTTGCTTCCTATCTCCTTTCCATATATCTCTCTCGTTCCTTCTCCCTCTCTCTTCCCAGTCCTTCCTTCCTTCCTTCCTTCCTTCCTTCCTTCCTTCCTTCCTTCCTTCCTTCCTATCTTCCTTATCTTCCTCTCTACCTTCTACCTGTCTCTCTCCCTCTCCCTCTCAATCTGCCTCTCTCTCACACCCCCTTGCTTCCTTCCTTCCTACTCTCTCTCTCTACCTCTCCCTTCTGTCTCTCTCCCTTCTCTTTCTCTCTCTCTCTTCCCCTCTCTACCTTTCTTCCTTCTCTATTTCTCTCTATCCTCTCTATGCCCTTCCTTCCTTCCTTCCTTCCTTCCTTCCTTCCTTCCTTCCTTCCTTCCTTCCTCCCTCCCTCCCTCCCTCCCTCCCTCCCTTCCTTCCTCCCTCCCTCCCTTCCTCCCTCCCTCCCTTCCATCTCCTTTCCATATATGTCTCTCTCTCCCTCTCCCTCTTTATACTTCCTTCTGTCCTTCTCTCTCTCTATCCCCTTCCTTCCTGCCTTCCTTTCCATCTCTCTCTCTCTCTCTTTCTCTCTCCTTCTCTCTCTCTCTCTTCCCTGTCTGTCCTTCCTTCCTTCCTTCCTTCCTTCCTTCCTTCCTTCCATTCTTCCTTCCCTTTTGCTATTTTTCTCTCATTCTCTCTGGCTCTCCCTCACCAATTCCTTCTCTCTCTCTCAATCCTTTCCTTCTTCCCCCACCCTCTGTCTCTCTCTCACCTACTCTCTCTCCCTCTCCATCTCTATCCTTCCTTGATTCATCCCTCCCTCCCTCCCCCCCTCTCTATCCCCTACTCTCTCTCTCTCCCCCTCCCTCCCTCTCCCTCTCTATCCTTCCTTCCTTCCTTCCTTCCTTCCTTCCTTCCTTCCCTCTCTTTCTCTCTCTTTCTCTCTATCTCTCACCCTCTCTCTCTCTCTCTCTCTCTCTCTCTCTCTCCCTTCCTTCCTTCCTTCCCTCCCTCCCTCCCTCTTTCTATATATATTTGTCCCTCCTTCTCCCCGGTCTGTCCTTCCTTCCTTCCTTCCTTCCTTCCTTCCTTCCTTCCTTCCTTCCTTCCTTCCTTCTTTCCATATATATCCTTCTCTCTCTTTCTTCCCAGTCTGTTCCTTCCTTCCTTCCTTCCTTCCTTCCTTCCTCCCTTCCTCCCTTCCTCCCTTCCTCCCTCCCTCTCCCTCCCTCCCCCCTCTCTGTCTCTCTCTCTTGCTGTCTCTTCCTCTCTCTCTCTCTCCCTCTCCTTCCTTCCTTCCTTCCTTCCTTCCTTCCTTCCTTCTCTCTCTCTCTCTCTCTCTTCCTCTCCCTCTCCATCTGCCTCTCTCTCACACCTCCTTGCTTCCTTCCTTCCTACTCTCTCTCTTTACCTCTCCCTTCTCTCTCTCTCCCTTCTCTCACTCTCTTCCTTCCTTCCTTCCTTCCCTATTTCTCTCTATCCTCTATCCCCTTCCTTCCTTCCTTCCATCCATCCATCCATCCTTCCTTATTGCCTACATTCTTCCCTTCGTTCTCTCTCCCTTTTCCTTCCTTCTTTCCTGCCTGCCTGCCTTCCATCATTCCTTCTCTGTTTCTCTCTTACACTCCCTTCTATCTTTCATTCCTTGGTAATCTTTCTCTCTCTCTCCTTCCTTCCTTCCTTCCTTCCTTCCTTCCTTCCTTTTCTCTCTCTGCCTCTCCCTCCCTTCTCTCTCCCTCCCTTCTCTCTCTTTCTTTCCCTCCTTTCTTCCTTCTCTCTCTCTCCCTTTCTCTCCCTTTCTCTATCATTCTCTCTCTTTCGCCTTCCTACCTACCTTCCTTCTTTTCCTCTTTCTCGCTCTCTTCTCCCTTCCCTTCCCTCCCTCCCTTCTTTC